CGCCTCTTCTCGCGTGCTACGATTGTCTGGGAGGCATTCAAAGAGGGCGACAAGAGCGGGAAGATTTATGTCATCAAGGACGCTTGGAGGCAGGGCGTTCGGCGCTTCGAAGAGGAGTTCTACAAAGACATCCGTGAGGGCGTCGCGGGGCAGCGCAAGCTCCAGGAGCTGTGCGATGTTGCAGAAGAGGAACTCCAGTTGCGCGGACTGGCGGAGCTCGAGTATGCTATCGATCTTGGTGAGGACGAAATGAACTCGTACACGAACGAAAACCGAAATGATCCGACGTCGCCTGCACCATCGTCCTTGAACGGATCTTTGTCTGACGACAATCTCTTTGGCTCCCCTGTGTACAATACAGACCAGCACGAGTCTGCACCCTCGCCGCCACCTCTATATGAATCCAACGATGAGGCTCCGCCGCCTTACAAGTCGGGGCACTGCACTGCATCAGCTGGAGTTGTCGATGAGCATATGGCCAAGAACAATGAGCGAAGCCACACGCGCCTAGTGATAAAGACTGTCGGTCGGCCCATCCAAGATTTTAGTAGCACGAAGGAGTTGGTCGAGGCATTGCGTGACGCGATTGAAGGTATGGCATTTTCAGTCATGTTGGATGCATGTTGCTAGACCTCACTGCACCAGGTCACGGCATCGCGTACAATGCTGGCGTCTTGCACCGGGATGTCAGTGAAGGGAATGTTCTCATTGCTGAGGGTGCTCCGTTCAAAGGCTTCATTAGCGATTTTGATTATAGCTTCAGCTGGAAGCGATTCTTACGAGAGCGCGGCTGGAAAGATACTCTAGAGAGCTGGCAACAATATATCAAGACGCTTGAAGGCATCCCAGACGAGAATGTCAAGACAATGGCGTCCCAGGAAGACTTGAAGGAAAGCGAGTCGCGAAATGGCCTGAAAGAAAGAACGGTAAGTAATCGAGACACAAAAAGCACCGCACGGAGGCTAACACGACTCAACAGGGCACATTTTACTTTATGGCCATCGGTATCTTGCGAGAGAACGTCATCCACGATGCATGCCACGATCTGGAGTCCTTCTACTGGCTTCTTGTGTGGCTTGTCCTCAGGCATACAGACCATGAGCACGAGGACGGTAATTCGGCATGCTCAAAGTTGTTCGATGGGGATCATGAGTGGTCGTGTAGAGCGAATAAGGTATGCTGGCTTATGGATCCCAAGACTATCAGCGTGCGGGGAAATGCACCCCTCACACACCTGTTAGCGGAGCTAACATTGCAATGTTTTCTTAACATTTCCCGGCACAAGTGCATACCATTTGTACATCTTACACACAAGGCGGTGTTGACCGCATTCGATGAAGCGTTGGCAATGGACGGATGGCCAAAGAATGACGCGGCTCATCCATACAAGATGCCGGATACGACCGCTACTCGTATTGACTTGCAACCTCCCCAAAATGACAAGAAGATGGGTAGTAAACCACCATCCAGTTGCTCAAAACCACCATCCACAACGAGTAGACCACTTCGTTCCCAATGTGGTGGATATCCCTTCCTCGCAACAGGCAGCCTAGTCCAAGAGAAAAAGCCATCGAGTAAAACATCGGTTGAGATAACCAACAACAGAAAGCCTATCAGCAGAGCTTCGCAGTCTAGCAAGCACACCATCGATACCACAGAGCGAGATGTCAGACTTTCTCAGCTTCAGCCGATAATAGCGAGCACCAATTCGTGGTCTTTAAAGCCGTCCGCTGCTTGGCTGGCTACCTCTTCTGATGCCCAGAGCTCTGTCCAATCGCGTCAGACCGGTCTCTTTCAAGCCTCGCTTACCAGCAGCAGGAAGCGTACTCGTGACGCTATGGAGAAGGAAAACCACTCGCCATCGAAGAGGAGGAAGAGTGCGAGCGGGAGGCAGTGAACCATCGACAGAGTTTGATCTGCCCATTTTGCGTGCCCTCCCCGTGATATATCCTGATTGCCTCTTCAGCACGTTCGAGTTCTTGTACCATACATAGTATACCCAGTTCCATTCTTGTGGGGCCTTAGATTGTATCTCCTGTGATAGCGATATTTCCCTCGTCAGTCTCTTACATACCTGCTGTTGGATTCCGCTTATATATATACCCATGATCATTCCAGCAGGAGTTCAATACAAGTTTTGACTCAACTTGGAACGACATTTGAGGTCATGAAAAGCATTTGGAATGAGCTTATTTTAGCATGAAAATGCGACAATGGAGTGATAAAATGAGTGCGGGAACAGAGATTATGCCGTTGAATCAGTCTAAGTCCAGGTCGACGCGACGCAGTGGCAGCTGGCAGAAAACCGAAGGCGAGCGCTTGCCGCGACAGCTGCTCGGTTGGTCCCTGTTGGTCCGAGCATCATGATATCGTCCGCTGTGTCGAGAGCCTTTCAGCAAGCAACGTATAATCAGGAGAGATACGGAGCTTAGATTCAAGGCCTCGAATGACTGGCACACTCGGAACCGTGCGCGTCGACGGAACCACACTGGACTGGGCTAGTACCAGCGGCAGTCTACCGTGATTCAAGACTATTGCAAACCACGATGAGGGTGGTGTCAGCAGCGTCCAAGCAGTATCGCAGTGAGACCTAAACTCTTTTGAAACTACGCATGACAACTGCTGTCTACTAGCCCTCAGGCTGTCGATTCTACGCCATTGTTTCACTGGCAAACAAAATGACCTTCGACGAACTGTTCACCGTCTCTGCGGAATCGTATGAGTCTAATGTCTGGGATGCCACATGTCATGAGAGTCTGGCTCTCTTCCAGGATGCTGGCTTGCGTGCAGCCATCAACCAGAAGTATCCTGACTCTGCTCCTTGATGCTAGTTTGACTATGCTCACTCTTCGAGTTGCGGGGATTGCGATTGCATTAAGACCTTGTCCTTGCAGCCTGGGAACACGTCGAATCATATCGATTTCCTCTTCTGAATTCTGGACTTACGGTACGGGTCCAGTGATTACTCCTCTCGGAGCTCCGAGAACCAATTTCACGACTCTCAATCATCCTTTGATTCCTGACTACAGCATCCACATCAGGACATTTGAGACTCGATGGTGAGGTGCGTCGCCTATTTATGCATCTGCAAGCTTGGACCACGATGTGACATATTTCAAAGGGCATACACCGGATAAATCGACATCCAAGCCCATCACTCTCTCCTCTAGTTTTTCGAAAGTATGTATAACCAAACTGACGCGTGAAACGTTGTGTTTCGGACAATTGGAGAACCTGATTGTTCGTTTGCCCCGGGGATCTTCATATGATACGGTATGTTGTATTTGGCGTGCATAAGCGCTGACAGACATTATCAAATCTGGGCCCTTGCACGATGGATGGTGTGTATTATTTCACGTTCAGTCTAGCAACGATCGCTTGGAAAACATCATCGATTTGGTGGTTTAAAGGAATTCTCCGCTCATTATCTCAGGGAATGGATGGCTGAAGGAAACTTGAAGGAGAAGTCGTGGGTATGACGAAGAATGTGAGGTAAATTACGTTCTTAGTTCAGGCTGTTGATGATGCTGGACATATAGTGAGAGAATACCCATACGTTCTGGTAAATACTCATTCCTCGCGTACGCTACGGCGGGTGCGCCGAAGGTGGAGCAGGAGATGGTAAAGCGGTGGTTCGCCAGACAGGACGTGTAGACGTTTATCAATTTTTCCAGAGTGGAAGAGTGTTCTGCATCTGGAAAAGCTGGTGGAGAAGTTGGTGCAATCCGGTTGAGACTCGTGCTTTCTTTGACACGTTCTTCATCGTTGGAGCCAAGGGCCTCAGTATATCTCCGATCTCTGCATGTTATCACACAGTTACTGCAATTTCATATCATATACAGATTCCGGTGACTTTTCCTGTACTCTGTACATAACCAGCTCGTCCAATAGCTCGTGGACCGATGACACCAATACATCGCTCGCAGAGCTGTTGTCTAGGAGCTTACTGATGGAAAAAATCATAAGCCATGCATGACAATCGACAACCATATCCGTTCTTGGCGTAGTGCTACCTACAACTTAACAAGCGCTGAATGTTTGAATCGCAAGATCTGACTCGGGGATCTCTTCTGATTGACAGGGCAATGGTACAATACGAGCACTATCCTGCCTACTTAGGTGTATATCGAACGCCAGAGACTCTGAACGTGATACATCGCTCAGGTAAACAAATGTACAAGTAAGTTGTTCGGTTATTCTCCTACAAATCGAAGCATAATGCGACGGACGTGTATGTATGTCAAAACATGGATATCAGAACGTGTATGATGTCAGAATCGCACAGACGATAGACTGGAAACAAGAACAAGATGATGAGTATTAATGTAAACCGTTCGATTCAGAGGCTTCTGGAAACCTCTTCCGAAGCAGGACTTTCGCTTTCGTATTAGGCACGCAGGAATGGCCAATTCTAGTCGAAGGGGGGATGACGCCTTCTTTCTCCATCTTCACGTCATAATTCACGACCACATGTGCAAGTATTGTCTTCATCTCCATCGACGCAAAGAATCTTCCTGGGCTGAATATAACAAGGACAAAAAATAGGTGAGAGAGATGTCAGAATAGGACGGACGTCGTGATCTACGGAACCCTTACCATGCATATCGCCCATGGCCAAAGCTCAGGAAATTGGTGCTTGTGCTCACCACTTGAACGTTCTCACCGGCTTGATTCCGCAAGTCGTAAAAACGCCACGGGAAGAATTCTTTTGCATTTGGATAGACAGAATCGTCGGCGTAAATTGCTCCGGTCGGTGCCACGACTCGTGTTCCTGCAGGAATAAACGTGCCATTCGAGAAAACGTAATCCTTCATCGCTATCCTCGATAGGCCACCTATATGGAATGGATGACGATGGTGCCAAAAAAGAGTATGTGGGTGGGACGTCCTAACGACACGACAAGGATGATAGTCTGTACTGCACTCACCCGTGAATATACCTGAAACTCGCATAACTTCTCGCACAAAACTATCGAGTTTGCTCATCGCATCCAGGCCTGTTTTGGTCCATCCGTGCTCTTTGACGGTGCTCTCGATTTCGTCTCGCAAGACAGCAGCGTATTGAGGATACGCTGCCAGATAGTAGAACACCATCGTGAGAGTCTGCGAGATAGAGTTCATAAAGGTAAGTTG